ATTTATTTTATGATAGCATATAATTATAAGTTATACTCCCTCCGTTCCAATTTATGTGAACCTATTTGACTGGTCACGGAGTTTAAGAAAAAATGAAGATTTTTGGAATTTGTGGTCCTTAACAAGTCAAAAAGGGGCCCAGAAGTATTTGTGTAGTTATAAAAGTTTTCTCATTAAGGGTAGAATTGTAAGTTTAAGCTAAATTGTTACCAAATTTAGAAAGGGGTCATTCTTTTTGAAACGGACCAAAAAGTAAATAGGTTCACATAAACTGGAACGGAGGGAGTAATAATTAACAAATCGACAAAAGTTTCTCAGTAAAAAATTAAACCTAAATAGGACAAAATATTTGAATAGAAACAAACACTGTCTTCATCACCACAACACTTAGAAAGCAATACACCAAAAATTTTATGTGTCCTCATTTATTATATACAGTTCAAAGATTAATGCACAATCACATAGATACAAATATGCAAAAGAAATAGAGAATTTGCTTATCTTAAATAGTCAATGAGAATTGCAGACTTGAATAGGCGGGGTTTAGGTTGAAAAAAATACTTGAGGTAGTGAGTATCGATGTAAGAGTTTTGTTCTAAAAAGGAATAATTTAAGGATAAAATAGTAAAAATCTTGGTCAAACTTAAAGTGCTTATAAGCTACAAATTAATAACCTGGGGGTGACCAGCTCATGGCTTAGTTTTTACTTATAAGCACTTGGCTTATAAGCACTTTTAACTTTACCAAATACGTAGATAAACCGAAAAGTACTTATAAATTAATTTGACCCGCTTATAAGCTTAGCCAAACACCCTCTTAATTCTACTTGCAAGTGCTTCTTTTCAGCCCATTTTGCCGGAAGTCTTAACTTGGAACCTCTGCATTTGTTTTGCCTTTTCAGCCATCTCATGTCCACTAGCAAATGCATTTCTTGCTATCTGTTAAGAAAATTTTGGCTTGGGGAATAACTAATATATATATATATATATATATATATATATATATATATATATATATTAGATTAAAAGTACGAATCCCATTAACGAAATATCGTTCGTTTTTTTTACCCTTTAAAAATTAGATTTCACATTTGACAAAATTTTCATTTAAGTTTTCCCCAAAAATTAAGGAGTTTTAAATCAACTAATTTTGTGTATTAAATCTTTCCTTATTTGAAATGTATAAAAATATATCTTCACTGTAGGATTAAGGTCTGCATACGCACTACCCTCCCCATACCCACACTTGTGGGATTATATTGGATTTTTTTGTTCTTATAAAGATCTAACATAATTTTTAACATGTATTAAGAGTGGAAAATTTTATATTATGTTTCAATTGCAAAAGGTTTATTAATAAATATTTTTTTGATTAAATTTTATTAAATATAATTTTAAAGATTTCAATAACCTAGCTTTGAAAATAAATAAAAGGCAAATGAAATTTTTTTTTTTTCATATCCATAGGTACTAAATTCTATGCTACTAATTTTTAAGCAAAAAAAAAAGTATTTGAACTAAACACCTCAAAACTTTAATAAACAGTTTTATTTGTGTAGCTCTTTTATAATTTAGACTTCGGTTACAAATTACAATATCACAGATGGTTTTTTTTTTTTGTCTTCAATGTTGTCATGTTAATACATATGTTTGACAATTATTTGTGAAAAACATAAAGAAAAAGAGAGCATCCAGATTCCAGACCATCTAATTTTTGAACAATGACGTGGCAGTCATTAGGGCTACCATTGAAATCTAATGGAGCAATCTAAGCATACACTTTTATTTTAGAAATAGCTCAAACATAATTTTTAGTGTTATATTTATGTGATTTTTTAAAGTTTTTTTATTTAGGGGTGAGCATTCGGTATTTCGGTTCGGTATTTAAGAATTTCGGTTCGGTATTTCGATATTCGGTTTATCAATTATGTATACCAAATACCATACCAAAGTATTTTGGTACTGTTCGGTATTTATTATTTTAGTTTGGTGCGGTTTCGGTTTAATATTCACTGAGAAAGAACAACGAAATGCTGTTTCTGTTAGTAACTGTCACTCGTTATTACTTATTCAGTTATTAGTGTTGAAGGAAGTAAGGACTTGTGCAACCAAAGTACCAAAGAAAATCTGCACTTAAATTAGGACGTGTAGAATAACTTATAACAATTACAGAATGAGAAATATCTGCACTTAAAAGAAAATCACTTTCACAAAGCCAATGTAATTATAATTTGGCAAAACACTCATTAGCCTAATATATAAGAACTTGCGCTCCCACAGTGACACTAATATAATTAGTTAACTCCGATATGCTTTGACAAAGATAAAGATCCTAGCTCTCCAATAATAAAGTTAAACTTTTGCAACTAACAAGAATTGGAAAAGATAATAGAATTCAATTAGTTTTGTCAATTGACTAGAATCACAATGTACCAAGACATTGCCTCTATAGTCATCAGATGCTCAAACAAGGTAAGATGAAAACAGGAAAAGAGAACTGAGATTCGACAAGTCTAAAGTAAGCCCTAATCTTTAGAGTGAGCTTGGGCAGTTGGGCTGGGCGCTGGGAATTAAATTAAGGAATTTTTACATTCCTATGCCACATAGGAAACCTTTTTACCCTCCATGTTTAAGGTTTGACTTAATTACACTTAGTATACCAAATTATCATTTCTATACCATAACTAATTAAGGTTATAATTAATGAGATATTTTTTACTCCTTAATTAAAGGATTTCCGTTTAATTTCAGTATCTTCACTCATCCCTCACTTTCTCTCTCCTAACCCCCCAGTCCCGTACCCCACGTTCTTTTTACCCATACCCATGTTTTCTAAACATTGTCCTTCTTCTGAAACCACCCAATTTCCCTCTAAATTCACTCAAAATTGAAGAAACCCTTTAAACAAATTTGTTCCACATTTTACTTTAGTTGAAGTTCATCAATGAAGAACAACAAAAGGTTCGAAAAAGAGTCCTAATAAACCAGCAGTAGCTGATATACCATCCTTTGATTTGAGTGTTTTATCCCAAAATCACCCAAAAATCAAGGTAAATCTACACATGCAATTACAGAGAGTAGTCATAGTTCCTCTCCCCGACAAATCAGAGTCGAAATGAGAACCAAAAAAAATTGATGTAGCTATTGGAGAAACTTCTACACCAGTCAAACAAGTCAAAAGAAAAGGAAAAGAGATTTCTGTAGATGATGACTTTGTAGAAGAGGTCCCTAATCTTCGAACAGGAAAGAAATCAAAGGTGTCTCCTGGTTTGAAAAATCTAAAAATGAAGAAACATTCAAAAAAACACCCTAAACACGTATAATTTTTTTGTTTGGTTTAGGATGTTAAAATCTGTGTTATACGTGTTTTAGACAAGTGTAGGTTAATTGTCTTAATTTTGAAGATTATTTGTAGTTGTGATGTTCTGCCGTTATAATTTTAGATATTTTGTAGTTTTTTTGTAGTTATAATGTTAGGTAACTACTATTATTTGAAGCAGAATTGTAGTTATCTGTTGTTGCTTCCTTTTTGTAGAAAATGCTTTAAATTGTAGATATTATATAATCATTTGTAGTTATATTGTAGACAATATGTAGATGAATTTATCCTTTTTTATGAATTTTATTAATTTGAATTTTGTGCAGAATGGACAATTTTTTGCCCCACATAATGTTGATTATGGGGTGCTTAGATTCCACACTTTGTGTGATCCTAGCATTCCTAGCCAGATTAAAGAGCTTCTATCCTCAAATGGTTTGAATCTTTTCAAAAAGACGTGTTTTGGATACTTACTGTCTCTTCCCACCATATGCATGCAAAACCAATCCATTCATCTTTTGATGAAGTATGAATTGACCAAATCCAATGAATCCTATTTTTTTGTACAGTTAAAGGGTGAAACATTAAATTTTGAATTGCGTGAGTTTGCATTAATTACTGGTCTAAGATGTGTTACACAGGTTACTGATTTTGGTTATACTCCCACTTATGTTAGCAAAATAATGAGCAGTTATTTTCCTAAAAAATTAAGAGGGGAGAAGTCTTATTTGAAATAGATAGTAACCACTAGATCCTGGGTAAACGATGAGGATGTGGTGAAGTTGTACATACTTTATCTTTTAGAATTTTTCATTTGTCCTTCAGACAAAGATCATGTTTCTTTTGTAGATCACTTTAGGTTCTATTTGGTAGAATCTGGGCAGTATGAGTCATACCCATGGGGTATTAAATCTTTCACCCAGCTGATGGAATCTGTGAGGCACAGACTAAATCCGTATGTACATTCTTATCTCATACGGGGATGCTCACTAGCATTGCAAGTATGGCTTTATGAGTGTTTCTCTACTATCAGCACTGATCTAGCTATGAGGTGTTCTAACTCAATACCTCGCATACTAAGATGGTCAGCTACTAAGGGGCTGATTTGGTTAGCTGCCTTTGAAGAGAAGATGATAAAGCCTGAGTGGATAAAGGTATACCTTATTTTATTATGATTATGCATTTACCTTCAACATATCTACAAGTATTCTACATTTTCTGCCCTGATCAAACTAATTTATTTTTCCTCATACAGTTTACTAACATAGTTGAATCTAGAGAAGAGATTGGAGTGCTGATTTTGCCCGACAAAATTGAGTACAAAGTTCAAGAAGGTGAACAAAAATCTGAGGTTGCCAATGCTGATCCTCCGACATTGGAACCCAAACAAATAGATGGAGAAGAGGACAACGAGTCTATTGCCGAGAAGATCAGTAAAGTAGAAAAAGGAATTGAGCAGGTAATACATATAAACTACAATATATCTACATTTTATCTACAATATATCTACATTTCATAAACCGTCTACCAAACATCTACAAAATTATAAATACTGATATATATCTTCACATAATAGCATATGTTTTTGCATTGTATGTTAGGACATATTATGAAGTTAACAACTTATTATATTGTAACTTGTAGGTTGATAGAAAGCTTGAAGATTTCAGGAAAGCTGTCTTTATAGAAATCGATAGCCTTCGAGTGTTTATAGATGAGTCTGTCCAGACTGTTTTGCAAATAATAAATAGTAGAAATGTGCAAAATGATGCAAAGGTAAGATCTGACTTTTATTTTTATAGCAAAACAATTTAGACATCCGAAAAAATATATACAAACTAATATAGAATATTTAGTTTGCTAGCAGTTCAACAAAAAACAATGACCAACAAAATGACTTCAACAATGAGCATTTTCAGTTCAATATTAGGGAACAAGTGCAAGCCAGCACCACTAAAACAGGTATCTACAAAATACCTATAAATTATCTACAATTTGTGTCAGTGATTACAACATATCTACACTTATCCACAAATTATCTACAATTTTAATAGTTTATATGCTACAACTTTCAATTCACCATTATCCAGTATTATTTACCATTTTCAACTATAAAACAGAACATGTTGAAGGTGCAATTGGTCAAGAAAATCTTCCATCACATGGTGATTTACATACACATTTTCAAGTTGCAGCTGATGAAGACAAAGCAGGTATCGTACTGTCATTCAGAGATATTTTCTTGTTGTTTATAAATTTCACCATTCTTGTTAAGTAAGATATGAATTGTGTTACAATGATGGAAGATATTAATGCACAGTCCCCAATTCACGGAGTGACAGTAGCAGCTCAGACCGAGCATGTCATCGAGGAAGATGACAATGAAGGTGCAGATGCAGAGTATGTGGATCTAGGTGATTCAGAAGGATCAGGAGTTGAGAAGAATGGGGTCACACTAGATGATTTTGAGTTTCCTGACAACTTATCCCAGTTGGTTATGTTTGGCGAGCCCATACAAGATGATGCAACACCTATGCATCCGGGGAGAACAAGGCATTCGGGAAAGCATGCCCGATCACCATTTATCCCTCTATACAGTTCTGGGAGCAGCAGCTCGGTTGGACCTAAAATTTTCTACCTAAAGCACCCTTTTACTACTGTTATTGGTGAAAATGTAGATCCGGATATTTTAGAGAACTTCAGCAAGTGGTTATACCACTTTATTGACAAAGGTTCAAAGAGGTACGAATGTATAATTTGACAATTGCTTTTCAGCATTTATCTTTTACATATCTAATTCAATCTACTATTTTTTTTTGTCATTTATTTGTTGTCACAGGAGGAAGGCTCCGTTTTCCATAAAGGATAACCAAATTAAGCCTTGGTTAGACCTTGGAGTGGAAAAGGTTGATAAGAAGGAATGGTTCTATTCCCTGGCTCACCCCGATCAAGTCCTCAATGACTCGGTAAGTATCAAGGAGTCTATTTCCAATACATGATTTGTAGATATCTTGTCTTCTGTTTTGTAGTTTAATTGTATTTATTTTATAGATATGTATAATATATAAAGATGACTTCTAGTATAAATTGTAGATATGATGTAGACATAATTCTAAATGTTGTTTTGTAGTTTAAATTGTAGAATTATTCTTAGATATCATTTTATATTTTTTGGTTCTGTTTTGTAGTTAATTGTAGTTATAATGTAGTTATATGTAGTTTATTTGAAGTTGACTTGCTGTTGATATGCCAATTATTTTTGGTTGCAGCACATTAATGTTTTAATGTATTACTTGAGGAAAAGAGGCAAGTATGGCCCCAAAAACAGTACCAGGTTTACCACAACGGATTATGTGTTCAAGACCAGGATAAAACAAATTTATGAAAAGTTCATAAATTCACCTCCAGAAAAGATGTATTTTGTTGTTAAACCCCAAGATGTTGTTGCAGAATATATTTGGGGTATAGACTACTTGCCAATGTTGCATGGGATGAAGTTGACTATGTGATCATGCCCGTCAATATTGTAGAAAAATTCCATTGGGTGTTGGTTGTTTTCGACATTGCAAACAGGCAACTTTATGCGTATGATTCCATGGTCTCTTCACACAACCATCAAGTTGTTGAATCCCGTGTCGATAAGTTTTATGTTATTATCCCTTTGTATTTGTCATGCACTGGTTTCTATGGGAAGCGTAAAGACATTAACTTCAAGACAACAAAGGCATACATCGAAAAATCAGTTACCGACCCTCTTAACATTCAGTGGCTCGTTGGAGAGATTCCACAGCAAAAAGAAGGATCACTGTAAAAAATCTATTCTCTCTTTCTATGCATTTAATTCTTTTTTTATTTCTAATAATTTGGTAAATATTGTTTAAATTTGTTATTCTGCAGCGATTGTGGTGTATTTGTTGCTGCCTTTGCGGAGTATGTTAGCCTTGGAGATTTGTCGATTCCCGCAGAAGACCTTTCTGATATTGACCAACATCGTAGAAGCTATGGAGCGCTCCTATGGGATTATGCTACAAAAAAGCAAGAAGATGGGTCAATCAGTGAAAGTGAGGTTACAGGCAGACTAGCAAGGAGGAAGTGTCACGACCCAAAATCCACTAAGGGTCGTGATGGCGCTGGACACTACTGTCAGGAAAGCCAACCAAATTACTTAATCAAGTTCTCGTTTTAATACTTCTGAAATCTATGATTTTTCCTTCAAATTTAGCAATTTTAAAGAACATAATCTCAAATCAAATTTAAATGATAAGCAGTCCATACAATACTTCAAACCATCCCAGAACCCGGTGTCACAAGTGCATGAGCATCTACTGATAAGGAAATAAAATACAACATCCGTCCGGAATACAATGGACAGGAAATAAATACAATGTACTGAAGAGGGCTATACTAGCTGCGAGCCGCCTCGAATAATGTAACTCGCCTAGCCCCAAATCATCCGCGCTGCTACGCCTAGTGGGCTGCTAGAAATAAATATACCTGTGCAATAAAAATGCACAGAAGTGTAGTATGAGTACGTAAACAACATGTACTCAATGAGTATCCCGCCTAATCTCGAAGAAGTAGAGACGAGATGGTCAACTTCGACACTTACTAGAGGTCAATTGAAGATATACTAAAAATGTGAGGAAAACATGGATTTATATAGCAGTTCTAATTCACAAAGCGAGAAGACACGTAAACACCATTAACAAATAATAAAGGATTTTCAAGGTTTACTTTTCATTATCTTATCAATTTATATCAAGCCATGAAAGGCAATATCAACATTTAAAATTCTCCGAAAACAATATATATATCAGGCGCAAATCATGCCGAGGTCGACGGCCCGCTCCAACAGAAATGTAAACTTTGCACTGCCTAGGGTCGAACGGCACGAACCATAGATGCATCTATTTAATCTGCCGAGGCGTTCGGCCCGTTCCATAAATAAACACATACCCTGCTCGCGAATCATGCATGCGACGCAGGTACACATAGGGATACATGCTCAATCAGTCAATTAAGAACTCATCGGGGAATATTTATCCAAATAAAACCAATTCTCCTTTAACAAATTTTAAGAAATTAAGTTTAATCCTTCTGGAAATTCACTTACTAATTCAACCTGATTTAAGCAATTCAAGCTATCAATGAGTTCATAAACAATCCAAGTATAACATGCTTTTGGATCCTAACTACCCGGGTAATAGCATCATAGTAGCTACGCACGGACTCTCGTCACCTCGTGCGTACGTAGCCCCCGCAAATAGGAGCACACAATCAATTATTTCACCTATGGGGACAATTCCCTCTTACAAGGTTAGAAGGAGACTCACCTCGCTCCGAAGATCCATAACTGGCATCCAAGCCCTTCCGAAGACTCTAATTGATGCACCACGCTCCAAACTAGCCAACGGTTACGCAAATCCATTAATATATGCACAAATATTCGTTATGATCAAATTTATAGCAATTCTTAACTCCGATCGAAAAGTTGACCAAAACATCCTCGGGGCCACGTGCCCAGAATCCGAAATTTTTCGAAGATAAAGGTTACCCATGACCTTAGGAACTCAAATATATAATTTTCACTAAATCTCATACTCAATATCGTAGTTAAATTCCAAGAATATAATTTCTAGGTTTTTCTCCCTCAAAAAACCCCAAGTTTTTCTACACAATTCATGCTTAAAACCACCCATAATTGATGTATTTAACTCATAATAGGTGAGCATATCTTACCTTGTCGTTGATGATGAAAATCCTCTCTTGAAGCTCCCCCAAAAACCGCCCAAGCCATGAAAAATGGGTGAAATGAACTCAAACCCCGATTTAAAACATCCCTTCTGCCTCCAGCGATTTTCGCACCTGCGGTCCCTTAACCGCTTCTGCGGTTCCGCAGGTGCGGACCAATCACCGCTTCTGCGGTCCGCCCAAGGCTGCCCTTTTCCGCTTCTGCGATACGCCCTTCGCAGATGCGGTCCCGCTTCTGCGGAAATTTGACCGCATCTACAGTCCACTCTGAGCCGACCCAAATCCGCTTCTGCGACCACTTCTCCGCAGATGCGGTCCCGCTTCTGCGGAACCTTGACCGCATCTGCAGTCCTCCGGCCCTTGATCAAAAATTCGCACCTGTGCCTTCTTAGCCGCTTCTGCGGCGCCACACCTGCGGCCCGTTTTCCGCAGGTGCGGTTATGACAACAACCAGCAGTCCTCAACCTTCCAAAAATCCCATTTTTCGATCCGTTAACCACCCGGAATCCACCCGAGGCCCCCGGGACCCCAACCAAACATACCAACCAATCCCAAAACACATTACGGACTCGCTCGAGGCCTCAAATCACATCAAACAATGCTAAAATCATGAATCGACCTCCAATCCAAGCTCAATGAACTTCAAAAATTCAAACTTCTATTTCCGATGTTTAAACCTATCAAATCACGTCCGATTGACCTCAAATTTTGCGTACAAGTCATATTTGACATTACGAACCTACTCCAACTTCCAGAATCGGATTCCGACCCCGATACCAAAAAGTCCACTTCCGGTCAAACTTCTCAAAAACCTTCAAATTTATATCTTAAGCTAAATGGCTTCAAAATGGCCTACGGACCTTCGAATTCACTTCCAATCGCGCCCCCAACTGCAAAATCACCGTACAGAGCTATTCACAGTCTCGGAATCCCAAACGGACCTCGATAACACTGAAATGCACTTCAAGCCAAACCGATGAAATTTTTTCTAAAATGCTAACTTCCACAATAGGCGCCAAAACACTCCTGGGTTATCCAAAACCCAAACCGGGCATACGCCCAAGTCTGAAATCATCATACGAACCTGCTGGAACCTTCGGGTCCTGATTTTGAGGTCGTTTGCTCAGAATTCCCATCCTAGTTCATTCTTTCAACTTCAGGCTCCTAAAATAAGAATTCTCTTCCCAAATCAACTTCGGATTTCCCGAAACTCAATTCCGACCGCGCGTACAAGTCGCAATACCTGAAATGAAGCTGTTCATGGCCTCTGACTACTGAACGGAGCACTGAGGCTCAAAACGACCGGTCGGGTCGTTACATTCTCTCCCACTTAAACATACGTTCGTCCTCGAACGTGCAGAGAACTACACTGGGGTGGTCTGAAATCGTTGTTTAACATTTTATGCACCTCCACGTGCTACCACAACTCGGTTGAGCGCATTCGCTCAATCAATTCTGAAGATACTTCATTTTATCCAAGCAGATAGGCCTTAAAGCCCAATTCCAACATCCGGAATTCTATGCTCGACCTATTTCCAACATAAGATCACCATATCATTCACCACACGCTATACCCAAGCGTGACTGCATAACTTGCTGAATTCACACCTTGCATCATTTTACTCACCGGATCACAATAACATTTTCTGATCAACTTAGTCGAAATTCCACGAATCCGATGCTCCCATTGCACCCCATGACATACACCGGTCTTACCCTAACACTTACAATACCGCCACAGCGGAAGAGATGTGCAGAAACTCATAATCAACTGCCGAGTCAACCCATCATTGAGTCTATACTTCTGACAAGAAACATTACCATATTCTGAACCAAATCGTGATCTTTGCTCCTTAATATATTCCATATAGTCAGATTGCACTGATCCTGAATCCAACAATCTTGTCTCACCCAGTACGAACTGCTCAGGCAATAAGCCACCCCGACATGACCAAAAGTCTCATATGATGCCACAATGTGCGAATAGGCTACCAATTAGAATGCGATACAAAAAGGAGAATGAACTCTGAAAAGGAATTTCAATTACCCCGCTCGCGAATCATACACGCGACACGGGCGCACAGCTAATATGAGCTTCCTTCAGAAAATAGGAAACAGAACACAGACAGATATGGGGAACTGTACTGAACATCACATTGTTGTGGCGCGCAACCCGATCCGAGAAATCATAACCATGGCGGCGTGCCACCCGATCCACACAACATAACCATGGCGGCGTGCCACCCGATCCACACGTGGAACTCACATAAGGAGGTGCACATCGAGCTAAAATTGCTCGTTACAACAAGATATCGAATTTGGTCACAAGCACGCTAAGTGCATAATACCATCCCTGAGGGGACATATAGCGCCATAAGCTACAAAACTCAAGCACAACTGAGGTGCGATATACAATCTAAATCTCAAGAGCCAGTTTGCTCATAATACGTCATTTCCACGCGGATCCTCAACACACAAACAATTTCTCAAGCCGTCTCACAACTCCCACGGTGCAACGTATCACTACATGAAATATCTGACAACGAAATAACACCCTGACTACTCCATAAGGAGCGCATTACTGAAATGAACACAACTGGCCTGACATAGAGCCCATATTCACATATAAACTCATCCACCGTCCTCAAGTCGATCCTGATCATATCAAACTAAGCCAATAGCCTTACAACGGTCCATACTAATTTCCCTCTTCTCATAACACGAGAGAACAACCACCATAACCGGAGTACTCATCCACAACCCACAACCCAGTAACTGAGTGCCTTCCAAGCACATATTCTCAACTTATCGATATCACCACAATCTTCATACTTGGTTTAATTGCTTTAATCAATCAAGTGACTACATGCCACACTTATACGATCTTACTATGGTACTCGCTCCCACAACCTTCCGAAACACATAACAGGTCCACACATCCAAACCACCGGCCGCACTAACGCTGAAAAGCGATCAAGAATCATCAACCATGACACATGCCCCTTTTTACAAAACACCAAATCTCAGGTGACGCTGAAGACAATACCAACATACCTTAAACATCGAAACTCTTTTCCTGCTCATCTGAGCTCGTGACATCCTTGTCCACACCGAGCTGCTACCTTGATCTTCACTGTAAATTTCCATACCACTCACTGCACTCAACGTACCAGTATACGATAGAACTCGTTTTTCATCATAGCTTCGGAACCACTAATAGGTCAACACTTCATCATATAAAAACTCCTCACTTGACTCACTTCAGGAGATCCATAGTTTCACACAGGTGAATTCCCATAATCGTAGAATGTGCAAATCTCTAAGTAGTGGTCTAAGCCACCATTGCCCTTCCAGAAATTCTGCTTCCACATAACAAGCCATAACAGTAG